ATAATATATATATATATATATATATATATATATATATACAGGGCAGTGATTTCATGCAACGGTTGTATAGTAATATAATGCGACAACCTTCAAAAATTTTTGATCCAATGTTTAAAATATACACCCTTTTCATTTTAATGAACAATAACGAAAAAGAAAAATTTGAAAAAGCAACCTTGAAAGTATTATTTTTAGCCCAATTAACATAGGCTATCCATTTTGATAAGATGCTTAGATATCGGCCTTAGAAGGAATTTTTCTTTCCCAATTTTTTCAGATGGCTTTATTATCATTAGATGAACAATGTTAAAAAAAAAAAAAATTTGATTTTGAGTTTGTTAAGGCTAAGATCTTGAAATTCACTAAACGAATGGTTTAGATTCGTTGTTGGAGGGGACTCATTTTGACCATATCTAGGACTCAAATTGATATTTTGTTTTTTTGGGATTGATTATTGAGATAAAGAGAGTATGTGTGCAAAATTTTGGGTCATATAAATGCCACAAACATGGTTTTCTAGAAGTTTGGTTGCATTATACTATGATACAACCGTTGCATTAGATCACTGCCCCAGCAAACATGAATTTTCCTCTTTCCTTTGCTTTTAAAAGAGGTATTTCTGGGAGAAAACGTTTTAGAAAATCTTTCTTTTATTGAAGTTTTATTGGATCTTGCCTTATTGATATATTTTTTATTTTTGTATCTTTTTTTATTAGAATCTCTGGAAGACGGTAAAGTATTGAACCCAAACTGTTCGCAAAAATCTCCTAATTCTTTTCTTCCAATCATTATTTGTTTATCAAGCTGGCTTTTTAATTTTAGATCTGTACAGAGAGCAAGGCCTTCTGCACAAATTTCTGCTGACAATTCTCCTAGGGTATATGAAGAGTATGAGATTATTCCTCCATGTTTATTTTTTAGCCGTGTTTTGACCTTTTCAGCAAAAAGATGAGGTAAGCCAGATGTGAATTTTTCTTTCCAGTGGTCGGACTTACTGTCTTCTCTAGAAAGGAGTCTGGAGAAGAATGCATCTTTGTACCACTTATAGTGGGATAATGTTGGACACCTTAAATTAGAAAGCAGGTCTTCAGATCTAGCATCTAATGGCGTTGTACTCCCTACAAAGTGAAGAGTAATTATATATATTTAAGTAATGACTGCATCACTTTCATTATTTATTATATCTTGACCCAATTCATTTTTAACCACCCATTGTTTAGTGGCAGTTAATATTTCATTTTTCGTATTTTCACCCATGTGGAAATCCCACCAACCTCTCAGCCATCCTGTGAATCCACAAATAATGGCTTTGGCTATTTCTTGGTCATGTTTTCCACTTATCTTACAGGAGGTAGGCCTAGGATAATACATTCTCGTTTGAGAAGTAGGCCTAAACTTTTTCCCATAATCTATTCTATTTATTTCAAGGTTTTCAGTATTGAAAGCTTGTTCTATTTTATTTAGTTCATTATTAGAAAAGGGTTCTTCTTGAAGGACCATAGCTCCTTGGTCAGTGCTTGTCTTCTCCTTCTTTTATATTTAACTTTGCTAGTTTTTTAACTAGCTCATCCACTAATTCTTTATTACTATCTTTCTTTTTTATACCTTGAAGGCTGAACTGACTTTTATTAATGGTTGCAGGGGGTTTAAACAGTAAAGCTTGTTTCCCTTCCGATTTCTTATGATCCGTAGGGTTTTCCCGTGGTCTACTTATTATATTTTCAATCCTAGTTGTCTGCCTTCCAATGGTTTGTAAGCAGAGATTAGTATAATTGTTCTGCTCTATTTTATGTGTATGGTGATCCGTTTCTTTAGGAGAAATTTTATAAGGTGAAGCCTTATCTTCGGGTTTATCTTCACATTTCCCTTTCATCTGAAGATTTCTTTCAGGGGGATGAATGGATTGTAATTCTTCCCCTTGAGTAGTATAAAAGATTTGATACTGGTTCTCAACAGTCTTAAGACAAGATTCTGGGATTTTAATGTCTTTTTCCCTTAGGATATATCTTAACCATTAAAAAAACTTTATATTTCTCTTATGTTTTTATATGAATTTATTAAATTTCTTATGCAAAGCATCTAATAGGTTTTGGGGAAATTCAGCCAAGTACCAATCCCGGATGTTCTTATTCTCATCAGACAGGAAGTCTTGTTTTATCCATTCTTTATCCATTTTAAATATTTTTTCTTCTACTTTTTCTTCTTGGAGAGTGAGGATATTGAAAGCTAAGTCAAAAGGCGTTGGTTCTTTATCTGGGGAACAAGGTTCATATATTCTACATACTGGTTGTTGAACTTGACTATTTGTTCTAGTCAATCCTTCTACTACTTGTCTCCTATGATTTTGCTCATGTTCTGACTATGGAACAGAGGAAGTAGAGTATCTTGAAGGAATTCTAGAAGGGCCTTCAGAAATATTTATTTGAGTCCGTCTGTTTGAATTAAATTGTATTTCTCCATCCCCATTTGGGTATTCTATTATTTGTTCGGGTTCTCGATTCACTGGGGTTCTAGACTGTTGATTTTAACAGTGTAGAGACCATTTTTTAGGGAGTCTAATATGAGACCAGGCCATAGACCTTGGTATAACAGTATTAGATTTTTCCATATTAGTTTGGAAAAACACCGTTTGCCGTTTAGTATCCATCTGAAGTGCATTTGGGCATAAAGTGTTCATCACTTTATTGCATATCTTATAAACTAGAGCAATATTTTTGGGATCCTGAATCCATATCGAACCCTTGGGTTTTAATAGTTAAGGTAAGAACTTTCAAGAGGTTAGAATCTGTCAAGGCTACCGAAATATTGGGGAAACAATTGAAGTATATAGGACCGTTACAAAGACTTGATTCTACTATTCCTAGTAGAGAGTCTGAAAATTTATTATGTCGCTCGTCCCTTAGACAGAGAAGGACTGAGTTATTTAAACCAATTCGAGTAAGAGGTTTTATGGCAATTTGGACAAGTCCTATACTCAAATATTTGTAACTCTTATTTTTGTGGTCTTGTATCATTCGATTTGAAAGTAGTTGGAAACTATTATGCTCATTGGTGATAAAAATACTTTGTTCTACAATTTTAATGGAAAAACTTGTTTTAAATTCAAAAGTTCCTTTTCTGTAAACATCTGATACTGAAACTTTAGGAATATTCCAATTCTGAATTTGTTTTTCTATATTATCTATAGTTATTTCTTCTCTATTTCTTACACGCAGTGTATTATTAGAAGAAGAAGCTGTTCTATTGGATAGAGTCCTAAGGAAATTTGCCATTCTGATAATCTTTGATCACTGAGTCAGTCGGAAACTGTCCCTGTACCTTTTATGGCTCTTCCTGGCCTAACGGTAGTTCGGGTCACGACGACTTTTGGTGTTAATTTAATTATCTTTTGTGGAAATTTTCTTAGTTTCTACAGTTCACCATTGTAAGTCAATGGCTCTGATACCAGACGGCTCACATAAGCAAAATAACAATAACAACTAAATTAGTTTAAGGATTAAAGATATCATTCATAATATTCTGGAACTCTGAAGCGGCATTCTTTAGTCCAAAAGGCATAACATTGCATTCATATTGCCTAAAAGGATCATTAAAAGCAGTTTTGTATCGATCTGTTTCAGCAATTTGGATCTGCCAATAGCCAGACTTTAGATCAAATTTAGAAAAAATACAGGAAACCCAAAATTCGAGAAATCAATAATATAAAAGAGAAAATTTCCAATAAAGAAAAATTCTTATACTACCTTAAAGAAAAAATAAAATATGAAACAATAGAAACCAAGCTCCTACTTCCTGAGAATAAAAAGATAATAGAAAACCTCAGAAGTAATATTGAAAAAGAAATATGTGCGGAACTCCCAAATGCCTTTTGGAATAGGCAAAAACATATTGTTTGCCTCCCTTATGAAACTAATTTCCATGAAGAGAAAATTCCTACCAAAGCTAGACCGATTCAGATGAACCTTAGACTTTTGGAAATTTGTAAAAAAGAAATTGTTGATTTGCTTCATAAAACACTTATTAGGAAAAGCTCTTCCCCTTGGAGCTGTCCAACATTCTATGTTAAAAAAGATTCTGAAATAAAACGAGGGGCTCCACGATTGGTTATAAATTATAAGCCACTCAATAAAGCTTTAAGATGGATAAGGTTTCCCATTCTTAATAAAAGAGATATGCAGGATAGACTTGTTAATGCCTGTATTTTTTCTAAATTTGATCTAAAGTCTGGCTATTGGCAGATCTACATTGCTAAAAAAGATCGATACAAAACTGCTTTTGATGTTCCTTTTGGGCAATATGAATGGAATGTTATGCCTTTTGGACTAAGGAATGCCCTTTCAAAGTTCCAGAATATTATGAATGATATCTTTAATCCTTATACTAAATTTATGATTGTTTATATTGATGATGTCCTACTACTCTCTGAAAATCTAGAACAACATTTTAAACATTTACATATTTTTGTCAAAGCTATCAAAATGGCTGGTTTAGTAGTTTCTACCAAAAAGATTAGCCTTTGT